AAGTTGAAGTTGAAAAAGGCTTGAAAAAGGCTTTAATTAGCTAACAGAGGAGGAGATGCTAATGAGAAAATGACCCTCTATATCCCCTCAAAATTTTAATAACTCATGTTTTTTTTCATTGACACGAAATGTCCCTCCGGCCCAAACATATTACATCTAATAGCCCAAAATTATTTTGTATATTTTTTATATAATGACAGTCTATTTTGTGTATATTTTATACAGTGACAGTCTATTTAATATATTTTTTGTATAGTGACAGTCTATTTTGTATATCACAGTTTATTGTATATAAATTGTATAGTGACAGTCTATTTAGTGTATATTTTGTATAGTGACAGTCTATTGTATATATTTTGTATAGTGACAGTCTATTTAGTATATTTTTTGTACTAGTATTAGCACCTGCGCGAATGCGCGGACATTAACCATGTAAAATATTTGAGTTATTTGGATTATATGTACATAATCTTAAAATCTAAACCTTCTCGATAAATATAGATAATCATTGGATATTAATTAAGAAACACTACATGAAAAATATTAACTATTTCTCAAATCTCCTAGTTATAATTCTATTTTTTTGGTACCATTCTCGCCGGAGTCATTGGATTCTAAAAATAGTCAGGAAACAAAATAATAACTCATATTTATGGCAAAATAATCAAAGGTTGAGACTAGAGGTGTACAAACCGAACCGAAAAGTCAAACCAAACCGATTTAAAAATCCGACTTAGTTTGGTTTGATTTGGTTTGGCATTGAGTAAAAAAATCTGAACCAATCCGACATATAAATATATAATTTTTATATATACATTTAAGATTTTATATAGAATTTTCTTTAAAAAATGTCTAGAAATATTTGGGATTCACTTGCGGGATATAAATTTTAATAGAATATGAAGTGCTCCATATTTATTGACCTTAAATAATGGGTTGTATGATCACTTTCTTATCAAGTGTTACTGAAATGCGTTTATTTCTTTGTTCTTCCATATTCATATCATATGTTAAGATCTATTAAATTCTTATATATTTTTCGAATGTGAAGTGATTATTAATATTTAGGTATCATATTGATTTTTATGTTTAATTACTAGATTCGGTTAACACTAAAGTATACATCAACGAAAAATTATTATCAGACGACTAAAAAAGTAACTATTATGTGTTACTAATAGAATTCTCTCATAAGAATATTTTAATCGATAATATGTTTGTCAATTTTTTATATTATTACTAAATATATATTCACTTATCAAATATTTAACAAAGTAAGATTGAAATAATATTTAAGTAACAAAAAATTCGAAAAACCAAATCGAACCAACCCGGTCCATGTACACCCTTAGTTGAGACTATGAAGGACTCTTTGGATACGGCTCGACTCTTTCAGTATTACTTGAACTCTTATTTGGTGTGTTGATATCTTTCAAATAATATTTCTATTTTAAAATTTCAGTTTCATAAAACTTTATTTTTCAATAATAATTTTTTTTATAGTAATGTAAGTGAAAATATTATCCTTAATTCAAAACTCATTTTAGTCGACTATCTAAAAATTTAAGAAATTATTTAGCTAGTGAATTATTTTTCCCCAGTATGACTCCATTTTGATATTTGACATTAAACATGTTAAATATCTGAGTTATTTGAATTATATGTAAATAATCTTAAAATTTAGACCTTCTAGATAATTATAGATAATCGTTAGATATTAATTAAGAAATACTAAATAAAAAAAGACTAACATTTTCTCAAATCTCGTAGTGATAATTTTAGTTTTGCAACATTCTCATGGTGTCATTGGAACCTAAAAATAGCCACAAAGCGAAATAATAACTCGTATTTATGGCAAAGCACAAAGGTTGACACAATATGAATGATTCTTTGGTTATGACGTGACTCTTTTACTAGGACTTGAACTCTTATTTGGTATGTTGTTATCCTTCAAAACATATTTCTAATTTAAAATTCTAATTTCTAAAACTTTATATATATTTCAATAATGATTATCTTTATAATGATGCAAGTGAAGATATTATCCTTAATTTAAAATCCACTTTAGTCACAGTCTATTGTATATAAATTGTATAGTGACAGTCTATTTAGTATATATTTTGTATAGTGACAGTCTATTATATATATTTTGTATAGTGACAGTCTATTGTATATATTTTGTATAGTGACAGTCTATTTAGTATATTTTTTATATATATTTTGTATAGTGACAGTCTATTGTATATAAATTATACAGTGATAGTCTATTTTGTATATTTTTGTATAGTGACAGTCTATTTTGTATATACCTTCCACCACATTCCTGCCTTGTACACTACCATTTACCAAGATATAATTGGAAAATCAAATGACCAATTGCATATCTGAATTTAAAAGTTATAACCATAATTGTATTCTTCTTTTCATAAATTTTCTTTTCTTTCTAATTTGATGAAATCATGTAAGCCAAAAAAGATTATAGCGTGTCAAGAAAATAATGGAAATAATTGTATGGTCCCTCACAAAATTTGCCAATTGGCAACATTGGTGATTGATGTATTTCTCCTTAATTCATACTTCCAATGTTTCCGGTGGGAGTATTATTTATTGACACTAAAACTCAAAATTCTTGCAAATGGAAAATAATGTAAATGGTTATTCGTGTCCTCGGGCTAATTGCCGTGCTTCACGTTTAAACAAACAAATAAAAAGAGCAAAATTCTGAAAAGCAAAACTTCCCAACTATTTGTTTCACTAAAAAGCAGAACAAGCCTCAAGATTTCACCAGAAAATTCATAAAATCCCAAAATATTTTTCTGCAAGATTTGACCTTTAACCAATAAAGCAAACATCTTTATAATCCTCAAATAAAACTACGTCTTTCATCCCCTTCTGCTCCGATCATCTTGTTGGTCATTCTTATTTTGTGAGATATTTGAAACTTTTGGAAAAAAATAGAAATTTGTTGAAGAAAAACATGTTTTTTCTTATAAATTTTTCTTACTCCAATTGATGAGAAAACATGGGAAAGAGAAAGGACATAGTTAAATTCTCTGTTTTTCAATATCGGTGGGCAGCTGTCCATTCCGACAAACTTCAGTTTGTCAATTTCGGTGGCTAGCCGCTAGAATTAATTTTTGGGCTATTAAATGTATATTGTAATTTTTGGCTACTGGATGTTATAAATTTGGCCCGAGTAACTATAAATGAATTTTGCTCGATGTTAATCGTAGGAAACGCATTGTATATCATGTTTAAGAGAATCAAGAGGATGCTTTGCAACTTGCATAAATATATGGAATTTATTAGAAATTGACAAGAGTTTAGGTAAAAATATATGAATTGTGTCTATAGAAAAATTAATATTGACTACGACAAGCTAAGATAGACTAATATATGTCTCATCCAATTGAAGAACTCTTGTATCTGGGGTTATATTCAGTTAAAGTAAACGTAGTTGGTTCAACACAAATTGGCAATACAATTTACGTGCATATCCATGGCAGACCAATTCAAATCGTTATTACATTTTAGAAAAGCTAATAAAAAACAATTGTTTTTTTCATTACACAAGATAAGCTTAGGGGTGAAGTTACAAACTCTCATCTTCTTAGGTGGATCCAAAACCTAACAATTTTTAGATTTAAATATTAGGAGTTCATGAATATGTGTCTATCAATATTTGTTCATTAGAGAATTTAAGTGGTAGCTTATTATTAGTAGAACAGATACCTAGAATTTTATAGGCCTAAGTTTTTATTCTTATCATTTCCTTCCTTTCCCTTCTCATACGTACCCCGGGGTCCCTGTAAAAAGAACTAAAAATTTGCAAAATGTTGATGTCCAAAGGTAATTATAAATTTTTTGATTACAAATAGTAAACATAAAATCATATTTTCACTTTTCTAGTCCTGGTTCTTTGTATCATTATTTTAAGTTTATTTTAAACTTTCTGTTTTCTACGCATATGGTATATTTATTGTTCTGCCAGTATTCATTCACTATGGCTCAACGTGAATTCCTTGAATAAATTGGAATTTCTCTCCATCTGCGTTTAATGAGAAAATGTTAAATGTATGGTGACACCAAGCTTTGTTTCTTATTCGTGCGAGACAAAGCAGGATTGTCTATTGGAAAAGTCAAGGGAAAACTATGTAGAAATGAGAGAAAATACATATACTTTGAAAGAGCCAAATAAGTTTTACTAGGTCAAGCAAAACCAATATTTTGGCTGTTAATTAATTTCTTTTCAGTGTATTGATAAAAAAACTAAAAGGAGGAAATCAATGAGGTGTTTATTATTCGAAAACAAGAAAGGAGAGGTGCACTAAATTGAAAAAGGCGGATCAAATTGGATATATTGTATCCTTACATTTATGCACGTGATTGTTTCCATAGTTTAAATTTAAATCTACCTACTTTCTACACGCCCACGTAGTGCACCGAACTTCCTTTTTATATAGTTTTTCTATGAATATGTGTATGACTTTCTAACTATGAGTAGGCTAGATAAGATAGTACTTGTACTTGTACTAATACTACTGCATGGTATTGCTTTCGATTACGTACTTATCTTGAAGTAAAAAATGGCTTAAATATTAAAGAACCCTATATTAAAAAAATTAAAATTGTGTCAACAATATAGAAGACAATTCCCAGGTAATAAAAACATCTTTAGGAGAAAAGGATGAAACTGCATGTCCATAATTTACGTTAGATTTTGAAAAAACAGAAACTTCGTTTAAAGATCATTTTAGAGAATACAACACTGTAACTTTTATGTGCGTGAATAGAAAAAATAATAATTTTAAGACCTTAACTGTAAATGAAAAGAAGACATTAAAGAAACAGGTCCCATGTTCAATTTCTTACAATATTTAGTGGTCTAATTCACTAATTTCCGACTTTCCGTCATATCATTTACTCTAGATTTTCGAGGAAACCACAAAACAATTATAATACAAAATAGTGGTGCTCACTTTTCAAATCTTGTGCTCCGAGTGGTCCATAGTTGTATGATTTAATAGAAGTCTACAAGGCAAGTGTCATTTTCACTTTCCAGAAATTGGACTACATAGTCAAAGTCTCAATTTCAGTGTAACTCCAAATCCCACATACTTGTTCTATAAATAATTATCATTCTTTACAAAACAAATTAAATTAAACTTCTTCAACCCTCATTATCCATCACCTAAAATGGAGAATTCTTGGGTTTTTCTAGCCTTGGCAGGGCTATCTGCATTAGCTTTTCTCTGTAAAATAATCACCTGTCGAAGACCGGTTAACCGGAAAATACCACCAGGTCCAAAACCATGGCCCATCATTGGCAATTTGAACCTACTTGGTCCTATACCACATCAATCTTTTGACTTGCTTTCCAAAAAATATGGAGAGTTGATGCTGCTGAAATTTGGCTCCAGGCCAGTTCTTGTTGCTTCATCTGCTGAAATGGCAAAACAGTTTTTAAAAGTACATGATGCTAATTTCGCCTCCCGTCCTATGCTAGCTGGTGGAAAGTATACAAGCTATAACTATTGTGACATGACATGGGCACCCTATGGTCCCTATTGGCGCCAAGCACGACGAATTTACCTTAACCAGATATTTACTCCGAAAAGGCTAGACTCGTTCGAGTACATTCGTGTTGAAGAAAGGCAGGCCTTGATTTCCCAGCTGAATTCCCTTGCTGGAAAGCCATTTTTTCTCAAAGACCATTTGTCGCGATTTAGCCTCTGCAGCATGACAAGGATGGTTTTGAGCAACAAGTATTTTGGTGAATCAACAGTTAGAGTAGAAGATTTGCAGTACCTGGTAGATCAATGGTTCTTACTTAATGGTGCTTTCAACATTGGAGATTGGATTCCATGGCTCAGCTTCTTGGACCTACAAGGCTATGTGAAACAAATGAAGGCTTTGAAAAGAACTTTTGATAAGTTCCACAACATTGTGCTAGATGATCACAGGGCTAAGAAGAATGCAGAGAAGAACTTTGTCCCAAAAGACATGGTTGATGTCTTGTTGAAGATGGCTGAAGATCCTAATCTGGAAGTCAAACTCACTAATGACTGTGTCAAAGGGTTAATGCAGGTTAGTTCCTACTAAGGTTATAAAAATAATTTCTCAAGATTTTCTCTTGTTTTAGACAAAAATGCTAACCTTGTTAAACTATGGCAGGATTTACTAACTGGAGGAACAGATAGCTTAACAGCAGCAGTGCAATGGGCATTTCAAGAACTTCTTAGACAGCCAAGGGTTATTGAGAAGGCAACCGAAGAGCTTGACCGGATTGTCGGGAAAGAGAGATGGGTAGAAGAGAAAGATTGCTCGCAGCTATCTTACGTTGAAGCAATCCTCAAGGAAACACTAAGGTTACATCCTCTAGGAACTATGCTAGCACCGCATTGTGCTATAGAAGATTGTAACGTGGCTGGTTATGACATACAGAAAGGAACGACCGTTCTGGTGAATGTTTGGACCATTGGAAGGGACCCAAAATACTGGGATAGAGCACAAGAGTTTCTCCCCGAGAGATTCTTAGAGAACGACATTGATATGGACGGACATAACTTTGCTTTCTTGCCATTTGGCTCGGGGCGAAGGAGGTGCCCTGGCTATAGCCTTGGACTTAAGGTTATCCGAGTAACATTAGCCAACATGTTGCATGGATTCAACTGGAAATTACCTGAAGGTATGAAGCCAGAAGATATAAGTGTGGAAGAACATTATGGGCTCACTACACATCCTAAGTTTCCTGTTCCTGTGATCTTGGAATCTAGACTTTCTTCAGATCTCTATTCCCCCATCACTTAATCCTAAGTGCTTCCTATTATAGCATCATATCAATATCCCTCTAATAAATAGAGGATAGTTGTCATAGGAAGGAACCTATGCCTAAAGTTTTGGATTACTACTAAAACTGAACAACTTTTAGGTTTTTGTCTATTCTGTTCCCTAAACAAAAGAAGACATCTATCAATAAAATAGCTCTTATATCTAATTTGTTTTAATATTTTTTTGACAAGAACTTCCATAATCCCACAGCCATCGCTCCACTTTCTCACCACAAATTAATAGAAGCAAAAAGATACGTAGTACTTTTCAACAAAAGTGGAACGTCAACTGTGCAAATACCACTGGAGGACTACTTTTATCTTTTATCATGTCAGTTCCAAAAGGTCACTTGAACTCCAAGATGAGTTCTCTTCTTTTTTACAAGCATACAGCATACAATTTTAGACCAAGACTTGATACATGACTAGAAGATTTCGTGTCAAAAGTGGTCTTTCAATCAATTATTACATGGGAGAGAAGCATAAATCCTAGTCAATCTTTATCGGCTAGGAGAATAAAACAGTTATTCAAAAAGGACTGCATCAATATCCTCAGCAAATTGCTTTTGGCAACATTTAATAGGAAGTGAGAATGAATTACAGAATTTTTTTGTTTTTATCCAAATTCTGCGAGTTCTCAGTCAGTTGAAACCTGGATAATCTGCTTTCCGACATTTCGCCCATGATAAATACCAACAAAAGCTGATGCAGCATTTTCCAAACCCTCAGCAATGTCTTCTACAAAAACCAGCTTTTTCTCTCTTATAAGCTGAATAACAAACTCGAGGTATTCTGGAACCTTGTGCCGGAAGTCAAGCTCGGAGAAACCTTCCATCCGTAATCTCTTTGTGATAAGGCAAAACAAGTTGTGAATACCATCTGGTTTCTTTAAATTGTACTGAGAGATCATCCCAGAAACTGTAATCCTACCATAGAGATTCATGTGCAAAAGCACCTCGTCCAGCATACTTCCTCCAACGTTCTCAAAGTAAACATCAATTCCCTTGGGGAAGTGCCTTCATTTTGTAGAGACAGACAGTTGAAGAAACATATCATTCAACAGAAAAGTGATTTTGCAAAAAGCATTTCTCCGTGACCAAATTAAGTTTAGTAAAGTACTACTTTCAGACTCATAAAATTCGATAATTAATTTCAGCGTTTATCAACGCCCTGTGAAAGTGTCTTCGTTCTGCCATAACAGACAGATGAATTAACACATCATTCCGCAAAAAAAGTAAGTTTGCATTTCTCCCCTAACCCAAATTTAACATAGTAAAGTACTAGTTTCAGACACATTAATTTGATGACTGTTCAATTTTTGTCAATACCCTTTAGAAAGTTCCCTCATTTTGCAGTGATACATAGATTAGAAACATATCATTCCACAGAAAAGAAATTCAATTCTCCCCTTAAATAACATAGTAATGTACTGGTTTCAGACTCATAAAATCGATAAATTAATTTCAACATGCAGTGACAGGCAGATACAGAAATCATTCCACAGAAAATTGCATAAAGTAATACAAAAATCATTCCACAAAAAATTGAATTGTATCAAGTATTTCTTCCCTTGACCCAAATTTAACATAGTAATCAATAGCTTCAGACTCATAAAACTCGATAATTAATTTCACCAATTGTGTGTAGAGGAGCTCGCCTGAGCTTATTCTACGTGTTTCAGTGTCCCCATGTAATACCCTATATTTTTTATAAGGATAAGGGTGTATTGGTCATTAGCAAAAAAAATAAATAATAAGAAACTAACTAATAAAACACAAAAAAAAAAGAGATAAGGAATTCAATAAAAGGGCCGAAGCCTATTCCGGCCAAAAATCAAAAAACGAAGAAAGGGGAAAAGGGGAAAGGGGAAAGGGAAAAGGAAAAAAGGGGAAAGCAGCAAAGCTGCGCTAAAAAGAAACAGAAGCATTGAAGCATTCAAAAACAAAAGAATAAGGGACCAAGCTCGGCAGAAGCAACGGACAGAGGCGATCAAAAGCAACCACAAAGTGGGTCTACTTTGTTCTAGCAAAGAGATTTACAGAGAAGGGGAACAAGCTAGGTAATTGAATTCTAAAACTTTTCCATGGTAATCTGATTCCTTTACTTAATACTTAGCACACTATTAGCTATCAACAAAATTCAAGTTACTATTAATCTAGTACAGACAATGGAATTTTATATACATGATTCTTATAGGGCTGAGTAGATATAATTTTGGAATTGGATTAAGAATTTGAAAGTTAAAGTCAAAGAAATTGGGAGAAATTCATAAGACTTTTCCGTGAATTAACTGGGTATATCATATGAATAAGTTGTATTTAATAGATTTTGAAGTATTCTAAACTACCGTAGCGTGAATAAGTATAAATTGACGAATTAAGAGTCAAACATGAATCCAAGGGTTGGGCATTCTAAATTAGCTATGAATTAGCTAAAATAAGGAAATTAACACGAGATCGATATTGATGTGATTATAGATTGATTGAAGAAAGTCGTACTGATCGTTTGAGGTGACGAGTTTGGTATTTCGCACGAAGTACTGTGAGTAGTAATCTTAGTGCAATTTGTGTTTTCATAACCTGCATGATTTACACATGATTTTTAATATGAATATGTTACCGATTATTTTGAGTTGCATGTGGGACAAGTCTTTTACTCGATATGATACCGAAATAGTTATTTGAGATGATTACCGTTGTTTTAAATATTTCCGTTGTCACTAGATCTGTTTTACCAGTTACTTCAATTTACTGTTATCGAAATAAAATTATATGATTTGATAAGAACCGAAATGCCCTATATTGTTTTAAAATATTTTCTACGAGTATATACGGATTACTCGATATGATACCGAAATAGTTATTTGAGATGATTACCGTTGTTTTAAATATTTCCGTTGTCACTAGATCTGTTTTACCAGTTACTTGAATTTACTGTTATCGAAATGAAATTATATAATTTGATAAGAACTGAAATGCCCTATATTGTTTTAAAATATTTTCTACGAGTATATACGGATTACAGAGACAAGTATAAATGGGAGTAGACATTGAAGGATCTTGTAGCTAACGGCGGGTTCGTTAGACCTGGTGCACCTTGTAATTACCGATTACCGTTATAACTCTCGCTAGTGGGAAGGTAGAACTAGCATATCGTTACCGATTTTCCTCGAGTAGGGACTACCATTATATTTGACTTCTTACGAAGAAGTCCACAGTTATACCGATTACATGATCCATTCATTGAAACCTCCCAAATGTGAATATTGATATTATACGGTGGTTACCGAGCTTATTACTGAATTGTTAATTGTATTATACTACAAGAAAAACATAATGAGACTGAAAATTATTTATTGTTTCTGAAAGGACATTTTTATGTTATTTTCTGTTTGATATACTAGTATGTTTTCTGACTTGTCCCCAATAAAAACGGTTGTGGTTAACTGTTATTACTCACTGAGCTAGCAACTCATTCCCTGCTAATTTTTTACAGAGACAGCAGTTGACGTAGGCGAGGATTTCGTTAATTAGAGCGCACAGGTTGATAGTTCTTGGTGAGCCTCGCACTTGTTCGCGTGAGCGGAGATTTTATTTATTGTTATGGTCTTTTCTTTGAACTCTTAGAGTCGCTCCATAGTCATTCTTTTAGAGTCTTGAGTATTCTTTTGTTATTATGGACTTAGGATGAGTATTGCACTTTCTTATCGAAATTGGAGATAAATTAGTATTTTTGGTTGTTAGTGGGTTGATTAGTAATGATGGAGACTTGTTTTGGTTAATTGATAAGTTGTCAATTGTTTAGTTTGATATTAGGATGGTTGGTTGTTGATTTTGAGACAGTGAAATTTTTGGATAGTCCAAAAACATGGAAAACTCCGTCTGATTTTCTGTAAAATACTGATGAGGCTTACTTGGGAGCACTTGCTCCTAAGCGCCGGTCACGATCCTAAATTGGGTCGTGACACCCCATTAGCAAGACACGAGTAAATTAGATATGCTTGAGCTATAAAAGAAGATCATATATATCACAAACCTTTTCAAGGCTCCAGCAAAATCAGTTCCTTCTTTGTAGTTAAAAGCATCATCGAAGCCAAGTTCTGATTTCAAAAGATCTACCTGCAAAACAAGTGCAGCACGCCTTTAATAATGCCCAATTACATATTAAAGCAACAGTGGACTATTACCTTTTCATCAGTACTTGCACTTCCAACAACATAGCATCCTTTCATTTTCGCGAATTGTCCAACAAGCTGACCAACCCCTCCTGCTGCGGAGGAGACATAGACTATATCCCCTTCCTTAGCAGAGCATACATTATAAAAGCCAATATAGGCTGCGAGTCCTGGCATACCTGTTATGATGAAATCACCTTGTTATTATCACGAACAAGAATCTGCAAATAGTCCATTTTCTCTTGCGTAAAACTCCTAATTTGGAAATCCATGTTTTGAAATTTTCAATTAGGTTAACAAACCCTAAATTCTCCAGCCTCGACAAAATGACTTACATTACTTGAAACCGGAAGTAATAGTTTCAATGAGCAACCTTTTCTTATCACAACCAAGAAGCAAGCGACTACCTACTATATAAAAAGGGACAGGAAGGTTTCGGGCATATAATTAGGAAATGTAAATAGAAATTGGTACCTAGAATTCCAGCATAGTATGAGAGTGGCACATCCGTATATTTGATCTTGAAAAGCCCATCCGAATTAAGAATCAAGCTATAGTCTTCCCAACCAGTCATTCCCCAGATATAATCTCCCTCCTCGAAATCTGCATTTGCTGATTTAATAATTTTTGCAACACCAAGTCCAGTAATGACCTAAGAGGTATCAAAATTCAAAAGGGGAAATCACTATTAAGACTTCAAAGCAAAAGAGCAAAATTATGGGTTAATTTGTTCAACTCCTTCCTCTACCCCCCCTCCCCCACTCAACTCAGCCATGAAGCCAAAAATAGTTAAAAGCAACATTCAAGAATACGTTGAAAAATTGTGAAGAAAATAGACTTAATAATGAAACAAGCTATAATTTTTCCAGTTAATCATTGAAAATATGCATTTGCTTAATGTATGAGCTTTGGCACAAGAAGCCCAATAATCCAAATTCAAATGGGAAAAACACAGTCAATAATCCAAATTCAAACAGCAAAGTTAAGGGTCAATTTGCCCCACCGCCTCCTACATCCCCCAACACAACCCAACCCAACAAACTCAAGAATCAAACAACAACAACTACCGGTTTGTCCTAAAGAAGATGGAGCCGACTATATGAATCTCACTGACTACTTTACTCCACTAAAACTCATCTCATGCCAATTTTATTAAAATAAGAATAAAAAATATTAGATGTTCTGTATATTTTCTAACTCTAGATCTCTAAACTAACCCAGGAATCCAATAAAAAAAAACAGCATTCAAGAATCCATTGGTGAAATGTCAAGTAAATGGACTAAATTAGGAATCTACCTATAGTCTTCTCAACCAGTAATTACTCAAATATAATGCCCCTTCTGAAAATCAGTTTCTGCCAACTTTATAACATTTGCAGCACCAAGCAATGGCCTCAAAGTTATTCAAATTCGAAAGGGAAATCACACAGGCAAGAATCCAAATCAAATCCAATCAGAAGGGTTTAATTTGCCACCCAACCAAACAAGCCTTGGAACAACATTCAAGAATCAAACGAGCAAAATTTCAAGAAAATCCACTTACAGAACCAGGTTTGAATGAGGTAAGCAAGGAAACATCCTTGGACTCATGAGGAGACATCTTGTGGCGCATGTAAGGGTCACAACCCAAGTAAAGATTCTTAACAAACAAACCATTTGAATCTTGAGGAATCTGGGAACTTATCATTGTACTTCTTAGCTCAAAATCACTCTCTTTTGGATACCCTTCAACATAATTCTTGAACACAACTTGCTTGTTTGGTAACATCATACTTGAATGCTCAGCTTCCATTCTTCCTCTAATTCTTTCTTTGTTCCCTTCTGTTTGAACTCTGTGTACAGCAGCTGCCCTTTTAGAATGAAGCTTATTTTAATGCCAACCACAGTAGGTGGACTTGGAGTTTTAACAAGTTGCAACTATTGACCACCAACGACGGTTGGTGTGGTTAATTATCTTAATCAGAAATTTCTGTTTCAAGCCCAAAAATAAAGTATTTTTTGGTAATCGTGAGATTTTTTTTTTATATAATATTTGAAACTTATTTACCGAATTGTTTTAATTTTGTATATTACATGTCTTAAACAAAGATTACTTACAAATTATATACATTTTAACTTAAAAGGCTCCCAATTCATTTATAGTGTCTTCAATCAAGGGATTTAGTTACACTATTTTTTTTTCTCTCCTCTCTCCTCTCTCTCCAGATCGAACTTATATTTAATTATGGAAACGGTCTAGTTGGATGAGAAGATTCGTCATTTGGTCCCAGCTCCCAACGGTCCCCTGTTATTGCCATGAAAGTACTATCCATTAGGCAACGGTTCATTTGAAGTTGGAAGATAATGTTTTTCCAGAAATTTCTTTTACCCCTTTCTATATGGGAATAAAATGTACCATCAATTTAGTTAATATTTTTACCAGAAATAATAGGGGGGCATTGTCACACCTGAACATAGTGTAAACGAGGCATAGTAAAAGGTAATGTCTCCAAAAGCAGGCGACGAAAAACCTACATTGAATGTTGCAGCTGAACAAAATTTAGTATCTCCTCGGACTTCAGAGAAGATAAAATCAACTGAGAAAAGAACAATATATGGTACATCAACATACAAATTGAAAATAAATTTCGTACAAATTTAATGCAAATTTGAATATCTACAACAACATAAATAGTAAAAATAAATTTAATACAACTAATTATATATTATACAACTTATTTATAACTTATCTACAACTTTCATACATTATTTCTACCCAGTTAAATACAACTACAATATCCTACAACTTAAATACAATTTTTATACAATATGTCCTTGTATATATTTTGTATTTATTTTGTATATAATTTGTATCTATTTTGTATATATTTTGTATGTGGTGTGTGCTTCTTCCTCTCTAAAATTCCAATTAAAACTTACTCTCTTAATACAATTTTGATACATATCAACAACTTTATGTAAAAAGATAGTATTGATAACTTAAATACAAATTTTATACAACGATTCATACGTTATACGACTATTTTTCAACTTTTATACAATATTAAAATAATATATAAATATATATATATAACTATAACATAATATAATTTACATACAATTATAATATAATTTACATACAATTATAATATAACTTTACTATAATTTCGTAAGTATATTGTATGTCATGTGTTCTTCTTCTTCTTCTTCTTCTTCTTCTTCTTCTTCTTCTTCTTCTTCTTCTTCTTCTTCGAGTTTCAATCTTAAATTCAGCCAAAATCAAGTCTAATCTTCACTAAAACACCCTCAAAATTGAGATATAAACTCCAAACAATATACCAATTATTTGCAACAATACCTATTCCAAACAAATAATGGTTTTTGAAAACCCAAATTCCATTTCAAAGCTTCAAAGCTTTTTAATGGTTGTCAATGGTGGAGAGTCAAACACCTTCAAAATTTATTGATTGACAATTTCAATTTGAACACCAATTGTGCAACATGAAAGGAAATTCCTAAGTTAAAACGATTGAAATTCATAAAATGAAGAAAAATTGGGGAGAAAGCAGAGAAGGAGAGTAGAGAGACGAAGAGAGAGACAGAGACAGAGAGACTGAGAGAGAGAGAGTGGGCAAGTATAAAGGGATAAGGAAATAACTGATATTCCTGATTCAATTCCTAATATAAAGGGATACTCATTTAAAACTTATTTGTATATAATTGGTAAATAGTATATGATCATGTAATTAAATTGAAACTTGAGTAGGGAGGGTAATAAGGTTTCAAATAGTGTATAGGAAGATAAATCTCACGAAATAGTCATATTTAGATGTGAACCCAAATTAGTCAGTCCCGAAGTGAGTATACACGCTCAATGAGAAATAAAAAAAAGGTGGCAACTACTATGTACTCTCTCCGTTTTAAATTTATTTGATATAATTTACTCATTAGCTAATTCAAAAAGAATAATATATTTTTATATTTAAGATAATTTAATTTTAAAATTTTTATTTTATTTATTTAATTTTTAATAAGAAATTTTTATAGGCTATAGCTACACAACATTAAAATTATAGTATATGTCAAAAGCCTTTTTTTCTTATACTCCGAACGAAATGAGTATTATTAAGGAATCACTATTGCAAAGGCACGTGCAATGAACTGTAGTTTCAATTATTTGCAGCTATAGATGTCAGAAGTCAAACAGTTAGTGTTGAATGGATATTATAATATTGGAGATATTTTGCATTTTCTTAGGAAAGGGAAAAAGGTAAAAGTATATTTACATGAAAAGATTTTAAGAGGAAAATATAAACAAACAATAGACAAGGAGGTCTTTGACAAGGAGGAGAGTCCAAAGAGAACTTATAGTATAGGACACTATAACTCGCATACGAATATTAGACGGTGTCACGACCCAAAACTCTAACATGTCGTTATGGCGCCTATCGATGGTACTAGGCAAGCCGACCTTTCAAAATACTTCAATATTTCATAAAAAGGATAATTCAAAACTTTTTCATACTAGAATTTTTTTTTTACAAAAATCGGAGTTAAACTATCATAGCCCCAAACATCGGGGTGTCACAAAGTCATGAGCATCTACATATCCAGTCTAATAAAAACAATGTCTAAGTATCAATACAGAAAAGAAAAAAAACATAGAAGGAGAGACAAGGTCTGCGGACGCCGGCAGCTACCTCGTTGTCTCTGGTAGTCGATTGCGCACGAACTCAATGACCTCCTTGATCAAACACACCTTGATCTGCACATGAAGTGCAGGGTGTAGCATGAGTACAACCAACTCAGCAAGTAACAGAAATAAATAAGGAACTGAGAAGCAGTGGCGATTTATACAATTACAGTTCATTTTCAATAATTTCAGCAAAGAATAGACATGCTTTCACATCCAGCAGTTTAAGTCCAGTCAGTATTATACAGTTAAAGTTTATGTAATCCAGATATAGAATCTTTCAGGAATTTCATAACAATGACAGATAGCAACTAAGTGCATCAACAAATGAAAAGAAAACAAGTACAACCTCTCAGGGCAACAGTCACTCAACTCGTCACAACAGCTCGAAACTCGGCTCTCAGCCCTCAGTACTCACACTCAATAGGTACATGCGCTCATTGGGTTGTGTAGACTCCGGAGGGGCTCCTTTCAGCCCAAGCGCTATATCTGCACGGACAACTCACGTGCTATAATATCAATGTGTCAATCCGCACGGACAACTCACATGTTGAACGAACAACTCATGTGCTGCACAGACAACTCACGTGCCATAGTATCAATACCTCACAGACAGCCCTCGGCCTCACTCAGACATAAATCTCTGCAGTCTCTCAGGCTCTCGGTGATAATGCAAATCAGCCCAAACAACAATAATATGATACATCAACAAGGAACAATAGAGATTGAGATAAAATAAATAAGTAAAATATGACTGAGTACAAGACAGCAATTAGCAAGTAATTCAACAAGTACGCGACCTCTGCGGGTCCCAACAGTACCATCACATAGCCTAAGTATGATTTCTAACATGATTTGCAGTCAAATTTCTATAACACAGGAAGAGCATATAGCTAGCAACAAGTTATTCAACTTTACAGTTTCACGGAATGGACCAAGTCCCAATTCTTACGGTTCAAGCCCACACGCCTGTCACCTAGCATATGCGTCACCTCCAAAGTACTCACATAATCCAACAATCCGGGGTTTTATACCCTCAAGACCAGATTTAAAACTGTTACTTACCTCAAATCGTGCAAAATCCTACTCTGTAATGCCTTTGCCCCTCGAATCAATCTCCAAACACCCTGAATCTAGCCACAAGCAGTACAATATAATTAATATAGGCTAAAGGAATCAATTCCACAAGAAAACGTAAAATTATAAGCCAAAATCCGAAATAGGCTCAAACCGCCCCCTGGGCCTACGTCTCGAAATCCAACAAAAGTTACAAAATGTGAACACCCATCAGTCCAGCCATACAAGAATTACTCGAATCCAACCTCTAATCACCTTCCAAAACTCAAAATTTTAGCCTATGAAGTTTCTACCATTTTTCCTCAAATTTACAACTCAAATCCCTAATTAGATTATGAAAATAGCAATAGATTCATGAAATATAGTCCAATCCAAGTTAGAATCACTTACCCCAACAATCTTCTTGAAGAAACCTTGAAATATTGCCTCACACCGAGCTCTCAAAGTCCCAAAATTGAAATGGAAGTCAAACCTTCGAAATCCCATTTTTCTGCCCAGTTCTTCCGCATCTGCGGGCATACCATCGCACCTGCGATACCGCACCTGTGAAATTTCCCTCGCAGGTGCAGAAATGACTTAATTGGCTGGGTCCGCATCTACGAGCAAGTGGTCGCACTTGCGTGTGCGCACCTGCGGATAAATGTCCGCTTCTACGATTTTCCCCTCCAGCCCACTCTCCGCATCTACGGAACCTCAAGCGAATCTGCGGACTCGCATATGCAGAAATTCCTTCGCACCTGCAACCCCTGGCCATCTCCTCAATTCCCGCTTCTGCGCTCCTTCATCCGCACGTGCGAGTACGCACCTGCGGTCTCCCCACCACAGGTGCGAAACCATCAGATATCAGAAGGCTTCAGCTATTTGCCCAAGTCCAAATTCAAACCGTTAAGCATCCGAAACACACCCGAGGCCCCCGGGACCTCAAATAAATGTACCAACAAGTCCTAAAATACCATACGAACTTAGTCGAGCCCTCAAAAAATGTCAAACAATAACAAAAATATGAATCACCCTCCAATCTAAACTTAATAAACTTTGAAATTTCCAAATTCTACAAACGATGTCGAAACCTATCAAATCACGTCTGATTGACCTCAAATTTTGCACACAAGTCATATTCAACATTATGGACCTATTCCAACTTTCGAAATCGGAATTCGACC